AATTTATGATGGATATATTGGGACATAATAGTAACCTCATCTTAAGTCAAGGAGCATCTATATGGTATTTTGAAATTTTATGGCTTGTTGTAAGAAGTGTAAAGTATATTTTCTGACAAATAATTGGAAATGTTATTTTGAAAAGCACTAATCCCAAATGATAAGATGTGCCAAACAACATGGATAACTAATTTGATGCATCTGAAACCATACCTTTTTTAATTCTCTCTTCCGGGCTTCTTTTCCTTGAGGGAGAGAAAGAACATAAACCTTTAAAACTATGACCACTGTTAAAGCATCTTCTCAACACAGAAAACGTGAACTGTGGGCCCGCCCTGCCCATTGCAGGGTGTGCAGCAGCATCCCTGGCCTCTCCCTACTGGATGTCACTAGCACCGTTCTAATTTTGTCAACTAAAAATGTCAACAATTTTTTGTTTTCTTAAGAAATAATTAGAAACCCCAAAGAAAAAATGATGCCACAGAATATTAAACAAGAGGCCGACAAACTAATTTATTCAAAATCCCATATACAAAAAGAAAGCCAATTCTACTTTGCAAGCCAATCAAATTAAAAATATGTCTGATTTTTTTTGAATGACTTAAAGTTTTATTTAAAAAATTTTTTAAAGATTTTATTTATTTTTAGAGAGAGAAAGGGAAGGAGAGAAACATCGATATGAGAAATATCCATTGGTTGCCTCTCGTACCACCCTGACCGGAGACTGGACCCATAACCCACGCTGTGACCTGACTGGCAAATCAAACTGGTGAGCCTTTGCCATGTGGGTCTGGTTGCATGTTTTGAAGTTTTAATCATGTGCCCACAAGAACTCTAGTTAACTTCATACAACTGACTCCTGGCACTGCTGGTCTGGTAATTAGGGCATCATGAAACAGATTCCCCAGTGCTTGCACTTTTCACTACTTCTCTTCTTCATCATCCACATTAATGGATACTTACGGGCTTGGTCGGTGGGGTTCATAAATTTTCCACTCTTGGTGGATGATGTAGATCTTCGTCCCATGTTGATAATCTGTGTGGTTCACTTGTTCATTAAAAAAAAGTTTCAACCTAAGAATGTCCAAACCTGTAGAAAATTTGTATAAGAATATATTAGAGCTTATTTGAGCCAAACTGATGACCTTCCTGGCAGCAAGGTCTCAAAAATGCTCTGGATGATGACAGTTTTGCAGTCTCTTTCATAGGGGGTGGGGGTGGGGGGAATGTAAGAATGAATGATTACAGTAAGGTGGGAGAAAGCAAGGGGGAAAATATCTATGACTGGGTTATAGTATACTGTATTTTGCCATGTATAACACACACTTTTCGCCCAAATTTTTGAAGGAAAAATAAGGATGTACATTACACATGGGTAGTACCTGAAATAACTTGTTTTTGAGTTTTGTAATTATTTGTTATGTAAAATTTCTTGTACCAAAACATGTTAAAAATGCTAAATTTTTGTAATACAAAAAACAAGTATATAAATATAAATAAACAAACAATTGAATTAAAAAATTAAAATGAAAGGGTTTTCCCCCCCTGAAAGTATGGGCCAAAAATGTGGGTGTGCCACATATACGGATGCACATTATACATGGCAAAATACGGTTAATAAGATTATGTGCCCCTTGAAGGTCCTTAAGCCTCTGAGGGGCCTGAAAAAGAAGCATTTCAAAATGTGTTAACCTAGGTGCACAAATACAATGGACATGGTTTGCCTAGGGAAAAGTTAAACCTTTTACTATGGAAGTTATGGGCCCCGGGCAAAATTTTTAGGTCAGAGAATGACACCTTTCCTTCTTTATGAAGATTTTATCAGACATTATCAAGTCGCTAACTCTCTCAGCAAGTGTTCAGTTGCCTACACTTGTGCTGAATGCTTCAAAGCTGTTCCAATGTAACTAATTTAGCCTGTTAAGGGTTTCCTTCTCAGAAAAACTGTGAATGGGGGCTATGGAAGGCAGAAGCATGCAAATTTAGTATAAATACAAGCTCTCATACCTTTGATGATCCGTACCTTTTTTGCTTTCCTCGCTCAATTACCCTCAGGCTCTTGTTTTGACTCATCTTTCCCAAACTGAACCAGAATACGAATTACAGATTTTTTTTACAGAGGACGCTGGAGCCTTAGCCTGCGCAAACTACTTTACTGTCTCAAAGCAGGGGCGATAGGGAAATTGGGCCACAGAACCATGAGGGAACTCAAAACAGCCAAAGAGGCTCCAAGGAGTCGGGGCCCATCTCCACCCGAGGCAACAGCAGCAGCAACTGCCGAAACCATAGCGACGGTTGACCCTGACCATCAAATCTAAGGCTACCTACCAATCAGCGTGGACAGACATGAGGCGGCGCTAGCCAACCGGGCGAAGTCAGCCGCTTAACCGGTGGTCGCCGCTCGGCCCCAGGCTCGGGGGTCCCCCAAGTCTGCTTCCCCCGGCAGACCCCCTAACACACAGAGAAAGAGCGGGGCTTGGGGGCCTACAGTCCCGAGGCAACAGCGCGAGCCCAAGGGAGGAACCGAAAAGATGAATAATCCGATTGGGACAAACTCGCACACTTACACTTCCGCCGGACTCTGGGACTGCGAGAAGCCGGGAGGGGACGACTCTCGGCCTCTTTTATTTAGCAGGGGCCTTCACCTCTGCCCCCAGTCGGCTACTCAACAACCGCCATCTTGAAACCTCGCGCCCCTCCACTTTTCCTACGTCACTTCCTGTCCCTGCGGGCTCAAGATCCTTGCACTTCTACCCGCTGGAAATGTAGAAAGTAACAAAGACCGGATTCTCTTCCGCACCAATACAGTACTGAATTGGTCGACGATCTGCTAAAAGCCCGCCCTAATAGTACGCATACAAAAACGACATTGGTCGACACTTTTGTTGACCAATAGAAATCAGAAAAAGAAGCAGCTCGGATATATGATTGGCTGGTGAAAAAACGGCCCTGCCTCTTGGGACAGGTATTCTGACCTAATTCCGGGTGCTTACTCTATTGCGCCACGGTATATTGTCTAGGAAGGGGAGAGTGTGGGTGCAGTTTTTGCCTTCCGGAGTTGTATTAGTTTGGGGATTTTTTTTCTCATGATGTAAGCTAGTACGGTCTTTTCGGAGTGTCTGTTTGGGAATGAATCCCCAAATAATATGTGCTACTGTGTTTGGTGTGTTTTGCCAGCATGATATACGTCTGTAAATTCAGTAATTTATAGATAACACACGTGTAGACCTGATGGTGCTCATATTAGATTTCCAGATTGCTAATCTACAGGATTACTTTTTTGGAGAGGAAGTGTGGGAATACACCTGTCTATTTTAATTTTACGACAGGTGAGGTTGTTATATTGGTTGTGGTCTCTTCACCAGCCAAAACGTCTCATATGATGTCACTGTACGTACGGGATTATACCCTCAGATTTAGTCTTCGAAGATTCTTTCTCTTGTATTCACTTTTCCCCCAAGAGTCCTACCCTATGTTTTCCCGTTATAGGTAATTTTAAGTATTTTAAAATTCTGTCCTTAAAGGACATACTTGTTTATTTCTCATCTTAATTGGAATATCCCTTATAGGAAATACGTTGTTGTAGGCCAATTCCTACAATGAATTATAAATATTAGCAGAATATTTAAATGTGCCATTAACCGTCAAGATTGGTCCTAACCTTTGTTTTTGGAAATTTTTGAATTGATTTTAGACTGATTGTTGAGTCAGAATAGTAAAAAGATCTTGTAGTTTCAAATTTATAAATCAGGTAATAACAAAAACATTTAATATTGAAGGTGAACTAAATTGCGATGTTTTGCAACTAAAAATAATGATAGGAGAAAATTAGTACATTTAGGAAATTAAGTGTTTTATCTAGCTTTTAATTTTTGAGATATGTTGAGCTTATTAAATGTCAAGACTTTTCCTGAACTTGGATTCAAGTGTCAACTATAACAAACACATTCTTGCATCACAGCTTATTAATAATTTTGTGAGTTTAATTTAAAAATCTCAACAGAGTTATTAGTTGGTGAAGTACTTAGAAAACACACTTCCATCTGCACAAATTTAACTGAACTACTAGACCGCCTTAGCCTCTGGATTTTTCTGAAATTAGGTAATTAATGAAATAGGCAACCTAAAGGTTTATATAGCCAGGGCAACTTCCTAATTTTTGCTAGTATTGAGAGTGAAATTTATTTATTTTCCTAAAAACTCGTAAGGTAATAAACGATGACTTTCCTTTGAATGACAAATCCTTGAGAGAGTGGCTTTATCTCTTGCATTCTAAATGCATTTTATGGTATATATCTGGGATTTGCCTTAAAAAAAAATTCCAGCGTGTTTGAACATTTACTTGAGGGCTTTTTAGTTTTCATACTACATTGGTCAGGGTTGATTGCAATTATAGAAACAAAACCTTTATCTTTTTAGTTTAAACTTTTATCTGTTAAAAATAGATTCAGATTATAGTGTATAATTAGAAATTTACAGACCTATCATTGAAGTTAATTGTTACAAATCATATTTCAGTCTTTCCCAGTTTACAGAAACCTGGATTTAAAGTAATGATTGAAATTATGGTAGTATTTCTATTCTATTCAAAGGCCCAGGGTTTGGTCCAGGAAGAAATTACTAAGTATGTCCTCTTAAAGCTAGATGATGTCTGCAGTGGTAGAAATGAAAGCCTCAGCAATCAATGTACATTTAAAGATTTTGAGTGGAAATTAGAAAGGAAAAGGCAACCTCTACACCTATTCTATAGTAGCATTTACCCTGACATTGATCTGGTAGAGTAGAGTGAGAAGACATCCTGGGATACAGTCTTTTCATTCACAGGGTCTAGCACCAACTGATCCAGGCATTTATAGTTGAAAAACTCAGAGTCATCTGGTTTTAGCATCTAATTCCTTCTCCCAATTTGTTTATTGTATTTACGTCTATGATGAAAGCTTATGGAAAATGAACCTAATCCAAGAAACCAAACACTATTATTGAGAGAGAAGCAGAAAATATTCCAGTGGCAAATAAGGTGGCTGTTTATTTCATTTGTTGTTTCACTGTGTTGGTGACCTCAGTAATGGCATGATGATATTTTTCTGAGGCTGACTTGAATTCCACCAGATGCTTCTCATAACTCTTGATGGCTGTTTGTAGCTGCGTTTTTTCCACTGCTCCCAGGATGGCGCGGAAGACCATATCTATGCCAAGGCCAAGAACAGCAACTCCTATGCTACCAAGGAGAGAAGCACCAATTTGAGCTAACACAGTGACCAACTTGTTAATTATGCCAGTTGTGACATTTGAGCCCACGAGTTTAACAGCCACTGCACTGGCTGCAGAAGTAGCTTCTCCCAGGATGACTGAAATAACCTTTTGTACTATTGCGATTTTCTCTGTTTCCCTTTCCTTAATATCCTGAAGTTTTCTGTAAAGGGTTGGCTCTAGTTTATCTCTGAGTGCTTCGTCAACCTTTTGCAATTCCTTTTGGATTTTCATCACAGCTTGGATGATGATATCACAATTTTCTTTGATGGTCCCATTTCTTTTCAACTCAATGGAGGCCAGCTTGCACCCCAAATGAGTATTTAAGACTCCAATCAGCTTATTGGTGGCCTGGAAGCTGTCAGATAAACAATCAAGGAGCTGTTGGTGAAGATGGTTGACTTCTTCCCGCCTCCTTGGGTTCTCTGGGTAGAGGAAGTCACTCTGAGCCATATTTCAGATATGATCTCTGAAAAATAAAATGGTAAATTTTCATGAAAAAATCTTTAAAAATATCTGCTGTCTGCTTAGATTTGACCAGGAAATCTTTTACTTCCTGATAGCAAAGTAGCAATATGCTATGTAAGGAATTCCTCAGAAAACAGGTTCTTCCAAAGAATTTTTTTATGAAACTTGAAGCCCGTGTGTGAAAATGTGGGTGGCACCCTGTCAATGCATTAGAAAAGGGATTGTGTTTTGTGAAGAGGGGAAGTCCTAGGTAGGAAATATTTGTGTTTATGAAGCATCTGATCATAGATAAGTGTCAGTCTAAAACCAAATCAAGAATGTGTAAGGTAGAGGTGATTATTTCCAAGTAATGTTGATAACATACTTGAAACAGACTGACAGAAATCTAACCTCTAATCACCACATTGAATAGACCTACCAGCTTGATTTCTACAATATTTGGAGTTAAATTAGTAAGACTAAAGACTACTAAGATCTCTGAGTTTACAGGACGATTAATATATAATTTTGTTTATATACTATCTTATCTTAATTTTCAATATTCAAATCATGTTATATATATGTTTACAGACAAATTTTCTAAACTTAAGGGATATTGAAAGACAAATATAACAGATTCTTTACAAAAAAATCTTTGTGATGACAGTATCCAAAATTCCTTGGACTAAAATCTCACTTGAAGAGAAAGTCACTGTGGTGCAGGGGACAGTGCAGTTATGACTGTCTCTCTGATTTCCCATTTGCAAAACTTATAAATTAAATTATTTAGAATGATCTGTATTGTACTTGCCCATATTAAGATAAGTTAGAGTTAGCCTTGGGAAGAAGAAAATGCTGTTTCACAGAAGTAATAAGGAATAAGTAGCAAAGTACACCATAGAATGAATAAAACAAGCCTGCTAGGAGCCTTCTTGTGTAAAAGCTTGAGCCTAATTTAAAAAAAAATGTTAATATGCATGCATTGAGTAGGATTTCTTTGTGCCTGGCATCTTTGTTTTTCATTTACACTCTTGGGAGGAAGGAGAAAAAATGGAGTTCTGTGTATCTGTATGGAGTCTGACACACTCTCTCTTTGAATAAATACTATCTTGATTACTTAGGGCCCTGTTTTAAGACCATGGTTCTTAGCTTAGATAGAGGAATCTGAGAAGCAAGGGAGGAAGGAGTGAAGGAGTTTATCTCTCAAAAAAGGAAACATGAAAATAACCTGTCCCCCAAGTCATAAAGATATAAGTTGGAAATGAAGAGAGGAAGATTTAAAACAAATGGATTAGGAACATAATCATCTATGCTGTTAAATTTAGAAAAATGTACTGGTACTCCTGGTGGAATAAACTTCAATGTGGCCAGAAATTCATTTTTATCTTTGATTCAGATCCAGTACAACCCACACACATGCATGCGCATGCATGACAGACAAGAATTTCTCAAGGCAGTACTGAGAAAATATCTCAGTTCCATTTAAAGAATTTTTTTGTTGATGGTCTATTAAATAAGTCCCCAAACTCAACATCTGGTTGCAAACTGAAATTTGAAAACCACAAATTTAGACTTTGATTTTTCTTTTTTTTCTAGAAATTTTCCATACTTTTCCCCTTTTTTGGCTCCTAGTTGTCAGATGTTGTAAAAAAACAAACAAACAAACAAACAAACAAACAAACAAACCTGTTTCTGACTTTGAATTCAGAAAATCACCAACTACATTCCTATTCAGTTAATTATGTGAGAGGAGTCTTTCTTACCTTGAAAAAGTGAAAAACATCTCTAGCAACTACCATATGCCATTATCTGAAGGTGTGACTTCCAGAAAAGGCGTGTGGTGCTATTTACCTTAAGACAAACCAATGAAAAAACGAATCTGCTCCCTGTGGAAGGTTGAATGCTTCCAAGTGATCAATTCCTTCTAAAAAATAATTATTTTATCCCTGACTGGTATAGCTCAATGGATTGAGCACGGGCCTGCAAACCAAAGCATCGTGGTTCGATTCCCAGTCAGGGCACATGCCTGGGTTGAGGGCCAGTTCTCGGCTGGGGACTCACAGGAGGCAACCATACACTGATGTTTCTCTCCCTCTCTCCTTCCCTTCCTCTCTAAAGATAAATAAATAAAACTCTTTAAAATAAAAAAATAATTATTTTAACACAACTTAACAAATTAAGCATAAAATACATCTGAAAGTCTGAATAGGTATGACTGTCTTTTTCAGGAAAAGTAATAATGATACTTTTTCCTTTTCAAATATTAAAACACTATCAAAACACAGTATTAACCAGTATTGTACAGGGGAAAGAGTAGATGGAATTATGGAAGAAAAGAATCCTCAAAGCAAACCCTTCTATATATTTGATTTAATATATAGTAAATGTAGAATCTCAAATAGATGTTAATTGAAATTATTATTTCATAAATGATCCTGGGATAATGGGGTAGTTTTAGGTGTTAAAAGTTAATTTAAAATGTTATTAGCATAATATATGCAAAAAATCAACTAATAAAATAGAAGAAAATGAATAATTTTCAAATTTCTGTGTAAAAGAGGACTTTATAAGCTTAAAACCATTGAAGTCATACAAAAATGTGACTAACCAAGAGGACTACGTAAAGGAACTAAAAACAAAATGGGAAAAAATATAAGAAAAATGAAGAACTATGAAGTTTGAAAGAATGTTAATGTTAATAAGGAAAACAGCAATCCAATACCTAAATAAGCAAACAACTCTGAACAGACAGTGAAAGAAGGAATAGCTAGCTCATTGAAGAAAAAAGTTCAATCTTATTAGAAATCAAAGATACTGTACTTTTCCAACTACAAAAGTAGTTTCTTTTTTTACACACTGAAAATCTTGCATGTGCATTTTCATACCTAGACAGTCCAGGCATCAGTTTATAATTCAGCGCCAATAAAAAGTTTGAGTAAGAGACATCAAGATGTGCTCAGAATTATTTTTCACATCTAATAAAGAAGGACTCATTCTTCTGAGTCTGGCTTACCGTCCTAGCTCTTTTCTCCTTAGGGAAGGGCTTTGGGAGGGTTCTTCATGCAAGTATCTTCAGCAAGGCCTGCTACCACACCTGCTCCAGTACTGAACACAGTTCAAGATTATTTCTATCCCCACTGTGAGATAAATGCTAGAGAAGTAGGTGGAGAAGAGGTGGGTTTTGAAGGTGAAACTAATGAATTATTTCTTGGACAGGTGAAATTTGAATAGCCTAGTGAAGGCAGCAATTTAATAATTCAGTAACAATCTATCTAATGGAGCAGCACCTTACAATGTATAAGGTAATATGCTAAGCTCTGTAGAGCATCCCAAAATGAAAAAAAGACATGGTCCCTGCTTTCACAGAATTTCTAATCTAGGTAAAAAGTTGAGATGCTAAAATTACATGTCAACTTGAAGGTAATATGCCATTTGAAATTATAGTTAAAGCTGGTGCTTGACTTGTGCAAATTCAAATTTTAAACAAGTCACACTGTAGTATATATTGACACTGGGTCAGTATGCAGACATTCAGTCATCCAGGGAAGATTAACAACTTGTACCCTTTCAATTTGTTACTCTTAAATACGTGCTTGACATTTAGAGGAGAGAACGATAGTTGGTAACAGCGTTTTCACTATATAGCTCGTGACAATTTAGTTTCGACTCTCAAATTGCTTGCTTCACTCAGCAAAACAAAAGCCCTTCAATGAATTGAAGTCACCCTTCTTAAAGATCGTAGGTATTATTTAGGCATGACTAAGTGATGCCTCACGGAGAATATATAGTACTGTAGCTAAAAGGAGTTCTGGACAGTCTACTTTCCTCTATCTTATTAACTTTTCAGTCATGACCTTTTCAATATTGACTTTAATATTTAATCTTTTAAAAATCATTTCAAAGTCACTTTAAAAATGACTTTTGCTCTGGCTGGTGTAGCTCGGCAGATCAACTATGGGCCTGTGAACCAAAGGGTTGCAGTTGGATTCCCAGTCAGGGCACAGGCCTGAGTTGCAAGCCAGGTCCCCAGTAGGGGGGCCGTGACAGGCAACCACGTATTGATGTTTCTCTCCCTCTCTTTCTCACTCCTTTCCCCTCTCTCTAAAAATAAATAAATAAAACCTCTAAAAAAATAAAAATGACTTTTAAAGATTGGTACCAGCAGGTAACTAAGTGGTCTACTTAATTCAGCTCTGATTACCTGCACCTTTTGTATGGTAAATGTAAACTTTTACATTATTTGTTTTCACATGATAGTGCTCCCTGTCAGTGAAAATTTTACTATGGACTATTACTCTCTACTGTGCAGCAGCGTTTGTTCTGTTCTGTGTGTATTTTATTAAAGTGGCTCCCGAAATAGGTTGTAAGGCGCCCTGGGGAACCTGATGGGGAATCACTAGCCAGGAGGTGGCGCTCATGGTCTCTTGCTGCTTATTTCACCCCAGTGTATGCTGAAGCAGCTGTGTTTTTAATTTTTATTTTTATTGTGTTTTTTCCCCATTACCATTTAGTCCCATTATACACACCCCCTGCAATCACCACATTTGTCCATGTCCCTGAGTCCTTTTTCCTTTTTGCTCACTCCCTCTACTCCCTAACCAACCCCCCACCCCTTGCCTCTTTGCTGTCATCCAGCTGTGAGTCTGTCAATTTTGCTTGTTTGTTCAGTTTGTTCATTAGATTGGACACATGAATGAAATCATATGGTATTTGTCTTTTTCTGACTGGCTTATTTCACATAGTAGAATGTTCTCCAGATCCATCTATACTTTGGCAAAGGGTAAAATTTTTTTTTCTTTTATGGCCAAATAGTATTCCATTGTGTAAATGCCCCGTTGTTGTTTATCCACTCAGCTACTGTGCTTTTTCGTGCTGCATGAATACCCTGTTGCTAAAACAGAGTTTGGAAATTATGTGCATTTTAATTTGTTATTTCATTTAAAAAGCAGTAAACAAAATCAGTAATGCCAGTGATCAGCCTCTCTAGGATGTTGGAATGGAAACAAAGACTAGTTTTATTCAGATAGATTCTTATGGAGTTCATATCGATTTTGTTGAATTGAATAGAAAACATTCAAGATTAGAAGAGCATATAAGAAGTGGTAGAAGTATATTGATAATTATATCTGAAAGTTAAGGTTTATTTAGTGATATTATACACTTGTTTTAGTTTTCTAGGAATCACCTTATAAAATGAAATGAAAATACCAATTATCACATATTCAGATATAAAGTCCTCAGAATACTTTTGCAAATAACTGTAGTTCAGTGACTGTCAAGCGTATAGAAATTTAAAGAAAGAAATTAATATTGAGGTGATTAGCGGAGGCATCATGCAGCAAGTGACATGTGATATGTGCTTTGAGAGACTGTAGAATTGTGACATGAAAAAATTAAAAATAAAAAATTGATAAAATATTTAAAAATATAAAGTAAATAGCATTAATATAAAAATGTTTTTAAATCGAGGAGGAAAAACACCCATAAACCTTTCACCTTGAGTTGTTTTGTTATTTTCCCATTTGTTTAAATGCATAAGTATTTTTGCAAAGTTGTAATAATAATATAAATAAAATTTTCATCTTATATTGATTTAGTTTAACACCCATATGTGTCATTTTAAAATTATTTCATTGGTTATATGAACTATTCCATAAAATATCTTTACCGAAATTTAATAAGTTTACAACTGTCTCATTATCATAATATTCCAGTGAGCACTTCAACACTCATAGTTCCCCCTCCCTTTCTGGTATCTGGGTTATTTTCTCGAGATAAATTTACAGAATAATCATGTAATTAAGTAAATAATTGTTTTTGCTTTTGATATATAATGCAAATTGCATTTCAAACTTCTACAATACCACAAAAATAAATTTTTATAGCAGTATATTGAGTGTGTTTCAAAGTCATAGATGGTTCTGTTAAATATTTTAATTTCGGTAGCAAAAGTTAAATTTCAAGAAGAATTCTTGCCTTTGTAGGAGTACGTACTGAAATATTAGTGATGAAATGATGCAGTCTCTGAGATCTGCTTCCAAATGATGCAGAAGGGACAGTGAAATAGGGTTACAGAGGGAATAAGATGGGCTTTGTGATAATTTTTGAAGCTGGGTCATAGGGACATGGGAGTTTATCCTATTAATGTCTTCACTTCTGTGTATGTTTTAACTTTTCCCATAATAACAGTTAAAGAAAAAAAAAAGAATGTGATCCTGCTTAACCTCTGATGTTTAGTGTTTAGTGTTCTTCTCCTCCCCATTCACCATAGGTCCTGCTGTCATGCAAGGTTCCTTTATTTGGGAGTGTGGGAATAAAGTCTAGGTAGCAAAGTCAGAAGTTTTTCAGGAGAAAAGAAGTTATTAATTAGCTCTGAGCCTCCTCCTTTAATACAAGACCCTGGCCTTTAACACAAGACCGTGGCCTTTACCTGGAAAAAGAAACAAGTTGACCATGATGTGAAGACACTTTCTGATGTAAATTTTTCTGAAGAATATTCCTTGTTAGAGAGCAGAATATCAGCATAATTCATCAGCATTTACCAAGTTCTTACTGAGGAGTATCTACTATATACTTTAAGGCATTAAAAAAAAAAAGCCAATCTTTCTTGCTCTGAAGAAGATGGTAGTCTGTTTGGAGACACACAATGAATTCCCCATGGTATTTAAATGTGACAATTTATGGAGAAGCATAAGCAGCGTACATTAACTAGTACTGGATTGCACATTCATTATCTTACAGCTACTAAATGCTGGTATTAACAATAAAGACCTAAAAGGAAATTTAACAGTCCATGGAAACAAGACACAGTCATACCAGTGTCATTTCACCCTTAATTCTTCCTAAAATTTATGTCTTTACTGCTTTCTCTTCTCTGACTTAACTTTCTTCTTTCTCTGGTGTCTTCAGAGAAATAACTCATCACAAGGAACATGCCATGGGATCCTCTTAACCAAGTTGTTTTGTTACTCTATTATATTTATGGCTAGGATTTAAGTCTGACATGTTATTTCAAATTGCCTGTAACGAAGAACAGTATTATATCAACGCTAATAGAAATACCCACATTGCTTACCTTGCGGCGTTTCCGACTTTGGCAGTCCCAGCAGTGGTGCGGCAGTATTGTTGGAGTGCCCTCTCATGTGTTTTCATCTGGACGTTTCTGATGGAATGTGATGACTTACAGGCTTTGCTAAGTCTCTGCTGGGTCCCTCTGCCTGTCTGGTTTATGGACAATGTCTGCATGGCTTAGTTCTCAGAATTCCTCTATTTACTATATTAATATAAAAGTAGTATTTATTAAGTAAAGTAATTTGAAAGATTATTAACGTGTCAAAACATTTAATTTTCTGCTCTTTCATGGACTTTTAATTGTTGAAAAGTGCTATATAACTGAGTTAATTCAGTTCAGTGGAGAAGACGGCTCTTTAATTGCAGCTCTCAGATTTTGGGATTTCATCACGTCAGCTGTTCTAGATATTAAGTTGCCTTTACTTTCTGTTGCATTTGTACCTCCATCTGTTGCTGATTGCTTTATTTAGGTCCTCACGAGATGTAAACCCAAATATATCTCCAGTCCAATGTGAATTTTTTTTAGTATGCTATTAATTCCTCTGACAGTTATCTCTTTTTTGTTATCTTAGTGAATTGTCTTAATATAAAAACCTTAAAGACCAAGTTGACTCATTTCCTTGAAAGTTTAGATCAGAGTCTTGCATGCTTCTTCCTCTGGATTCTGTCCTAATCTCCCTTGATTTCTCTACAACAAAGACAGGACAGTCCAAAGCAGGACAGTCACTCAGCCATTGTAGTTTCGGTGAGAGACCACAGGCTGCAGCATGAGATAGTCCTGATTTTGTGTACTCAGAGTACCACTTACTGGCCATGCAACCTTGGGAAAATCATGTAATAGAGCTCTCTAATTATTTTCATTGGTGCAATATGGTATAAGTACATAATTTATGGATTGTTATAAGGATTAAATGAGATAATGCACATAAGGCACTTGGCATGGTGTCTGGTGAAAACTTACTAAATGAAAACTCTTCTTTTTTACATAAACAACAATTTCTGTTGGTGTTGGATAGATAGAGGATATAGAACCAAGATGCCAGCTAGAATACATAAAATCTAAGGGCACTGCTTGCTATAGTCCTAAAGAAGGGCTAAGTAGGGGATTATTTTATTTTTGTCCAGTGGGTCAGTTGGTAATCAATGTAACCTGGGGCCCCACCAAATAGGGACATGGGAGGGAAAAAAAGCAAGGTAGTCAGTGCATATGAACTAGGGGTGGATGGGTAAGATTTCCACAAATGTGTAGGAGCTGGGGTATGGAGGAGATAGTATGGGTACAGAAAATACACAGGAGCTGCACAAAAAATTGTAGAGCATTTTCAGGGGGAAAAAATCCACCCTGCTGGTGGGGCAGGTGCACATGAGAGGGAAGGCGAGTAATGAACCACTGAGAGCAGTTTGCAGTAGGTCTTAAATGCCATGCTAGGGAATTTATTTCATTCTCTTGGCAATGTTGAACCATTAAAGGTTTTGATTGTGGGGTAATACCAGGAGTTTAGATTTCAGAATGGTCACTTTATATAAACTGCATTAGTTGGTCTGAACAATAAACGTGGGGCAGCAACTCAAATGCTTACAGCAACTGGACAAAACATGTAGTTGAAACACTCAGTGAAAGACAGAAGGTACAGAGGTGAATGTCTAGCCTAAAGACGACAACTTCAGCTCTGGGTAATTTTTCCAACTCGGAACCTGGGCTTAATGCTGCCAGTTAACCTCATCTTTCTCAATAATCAACAGAAATCAATTGCTGTCTTCCAGTTTTTAAATTTGGTCACTGATTTAAATTTTTAAGTACATTCTAGTGGTCTAATAAAATGCCCCCGCTGCCTGGATTTTTCCTGTGGGCTGCATTGTAACCTGTAGACTAAAAGTATTGAGACCAAATGTGAGACCATTAACATTCATTGTTGAGACGAGAGGTAACTGGAGCAGGAGTTATGAGACTCTCAGAGAGGGGATAGGTAGAAATAAGTTCAGAGAGAATTCACAAATGTTAGGGGTGGATTTGATACGGGAAAGAGAAAATGATAATGGATTTTGAGCCTCAATAATAAGGTAAAGTTTGAGAGGAAAAGTGATTTTCAAGGAGACAAGTGCAGTTTTTGGATACATTGTGTGGAATATACTGGTGCAGCCACCTATAGAGATGGCCGGAAGGTCATTGAAAATGCAGGTCTGAAGGTCAGGAGAATTACTGAGGCTACGTGACAAGGCTTAGGAGTCTTCTGTGTACAGATGACATTTGTATTGATGGGGACATTTGTGATCTCGAAGGGAGAAAGTATAGAATATAACAAAGGTTAAAGACACAGCTGTGCTGAGTTTAGGAGACTGGAGAGCTATTGGTGATAGAAGGAGGAGGAGAAGCTGTGAAAAATATAAATGCTCAGAGAGGATACAGAGGGACCAGAGCTGCACATCGTGGAGGCCTCAGGAAGAGAAAATCTTGGAGTAGGAAGAGGTAATCAGCAATTTTAAATAATGAAAACTCAAAATGGCTACAGCCTGGAAATAAGCCAGCAGATTTGATAATTAGAAGTTATTGGTGCCTTATAGGGAAATAAGGGGGACAGAATTAATTGCAATTTTACTTTTGAGAAATTTGAGAAAGAAAGGAATGAAATGGTGTTATTACCAGAAGGGAAGTCAAGGTCAAACTTTTTTTTTTTAACTGAGGAGGAAACTGTGTGTGTGTGTAAAGGAGAAGGAAAAGTGAAGAGCGAGATGGAGTATGCCAGGTGGCTGCCGTAACAAAATACTATAGACTGTGTGGCATAAAAAACAGAAGTTTATTTTCTCAAAGTGCTGGAGGTTGCGAGATCTTAGATCAAGGTGCTGGCCCATTCAGGTTTTGGCGAGGGCTCTCCCCTACTTAATGGCAGGCAGTTGCCTTCTCATTGTGCCCTCGCATGGCTGAGGGAGTAAGTGAGCAAGGTCTCTGATGTTTCCTTTCCCAAGAACACACATCCTGTCACATCAAAACTCTGCCCCTATGGCTCCGTTTAACATTAATTATTTTTTCATATGCCCTATCTCCAAATATAGCCATACTGAGGCTTAGGGCTTCAACATTTGAATTTGGGGGGGGGGAGGAGTATTTAGTCCACAGCACAAGAGAAAGAGAGGATGACTGATAGAGCAAGGTTCTAGAGCAGATACACAAAGTATTGTAGGATCACGAATGGTGGTTAGTGACAACAACACTCCTCTCCGCAGCAGAACAGGAAGTTTGTAATGAAAGTGCGGAAACATTTTTAGACAGGACAGACATTTGGGGAATTTGCATCAAATGGCATTGCACTTCGGTGAAATGCTGCATTTTCTGCTTCCTTACTCTGCTATTATCCAACTTCAGAGTTACATGATAGTTACTTTATATATTTTGTGAAAGATTTTTAGTTTTAATCAGTAGGAAAGGTTGTATAGAGTATGTTTGCTCTATCTTGACTAGAATCCAGAGCCTTTCTGTATACTTTTTAATACTTTATTCAGTATTTTCCATTAGTTTTTGGAAATAACTATATCAAATAGTTATTGAGAACAGTGTCACTTTGTATGTAAACATATCCAATTCAGAATCCAGCACACAATATTTAATATGTGGTTTAAATTCAGTGAATCACCCCTATTCTACCCTGTTTTAATAGTTTTGTTATTATTTTTTATTAAAGCACAGGATCATTCTTCTTTAAAGCTTGTGTAGTTTTCCAATCCTTGACAGCAAGTATCTTCACATTCAAATAATGCTTTGAGTCTTTTTTTTATGGTTAACAGATGTACTTTTAGTTTTCATTTGGATTGCTGCTTTGTTTTGCAGTGCTGAAACATTTTTGCTGGAGAAATGTCTTCAGAGTCAGGAAAGGACAAAGAAAGGCTGGTTCAAGCTGCCAAAACATTCTTTTTTCACATGCAAGCTTTTGCTTCCTTTACAAACACACTCACCGAATTGTGTAACAGCAGTATGAACAATTCTGCTATGAAAGAAGATGGTTATATTAAGGATGTCTTTAAGCAAATGCTCATAATTTTTAAGGAGATGCAATCTGTAGTGGATGCAGAGGATGACAAAATGCAAAAGGAACCTCTATTTTTCAGGATTGGGACAGCTATGTGGGTGAGAAGAGTGCCAATGAAAAGGAGTTGCATGAGTCAGGTAAAGAAGGATTCAAAAATGTCCATGTCCCAACTACTGTCTATCGGATGAATAGTGGTAACATCCCTGTGAGTTTGGAATCTTCTCTTTCACTCTTGATGAAGTATCCCATTATGAATCTTCAGTTAAGTGACTTCTATAGAAAAGACACCAATGAGTGATCAGATACTACCACATCTGAGAAAAGCCCAAACGGCAGGCCTGTCCAAAGCCATTATAGTAGACACCGTGAAAAAGTTGCGGGATGCATTAAAAACCAAGACTACTAAGAATATATTGAGTTAGCCACAGAGCAGTTAGAGCAAGTTATCGAAACTGTGGGACCAATCTGAGAGATCCTCCAAAAAGCCCTAAAAACTGTGGAAATGAGTATTTCTGGGGTTATGAAAGCCAGGCCGGTAGGAGTGCAACAGAAGTGCTCATTTCTGTCATAAAACCAGTTCAGATCTCGTGAGTTTTCATGTTTGCATGTTCTAAGACCTTTGATGCCAGACATGTCATCAGTTGGGACACTGATGCAAAGAATAGTCACCTGGCAAAACCATTTGCTTCAAGTTTTGTTCTATCAAAAAGAAAAAAAACTGCTTAAAATAGTAGTTACTAAAAATAATTTATTGTTAAAAAATCGAGATAATATTACATTTGAGGATGTTTCTAAATACTGTATTTCATCTTAAGAAATACCTTTAAATGAATTTCCAGTCAGTAACTACATTTCTAGTTACTACAGTGCAAAGTCCAGGCAAATGTAAACATTACCACTAGATAATCTGGCAGAAACAGCTGTGGAGGGTTAGGAAACAACCCTCTGCGTTTTTGTCACTCATACACCGGTTGCTGTAGATCTCAGGGCCTTGCCTATCATAAGCAATCACTCAGCACTTTTGATAAGATTTATCTAGATGTAAATAAGAACAATGGATGAGAATAAAATTTTCTTACATAAGTGAGATTAAAGTAGATGATTTATTCTCACTTGTGTCCTACTGAGGTCTTATGATTAGGAGACATTAGGGGATGGAAAATGGAGGTGATCTAATCGCTCACAGTGAAAAGACCATATAATACTTGTAGAAGTAGGATGTCTGAGACGTGCTTGTATTGGGGAAGAAAAGTCAGATGAGTTCATTTGCCTACCACAAAGTCTTTGGCTCTCGTGTATTGTAAATGTATGCTCTTGAGACTGTCGTATTTCACATGACACCTGCTAGGACCTTTGTTGAAAAAACAATTACTCATTCTAGTTTTTTATTGGAATTTTCTTTCTGAAAATGCCTAAGTTGTTTTCCTCATTTAAAATTTTAAATCTTACTTTTTCCTTTAGAAAGAGATTTTCTCTATACTTTGTTCAAAAAAGTCTGAACCATGAAAGGGAAAGAAATTACGTGTGGGCATTTGATGAAGAGGAAGAAGGTATTCTACGTGCTTTTTAGCCTTCTTGCAATCACTTCCACCAAGATAACCTTCTTAGTTACTAAAAAAATAACAACAGGAAGATAGAAAGAAAAGTCCCATAATACTTATAATAGCTCCCTTCCCCCACACACTTTCTATCAATAGACAATGTTTAGCACATCTTGGTATGTCTGAGAACATCTAGCTAAATAAATGTTGAATTTTACCAAATCAAGAACCAATCAACTCAGTGTAAGTCCATTTGATCCAGACCATTAGACAATTCAGGCTTAGAATCCTCATTCCCCAATCAAACTGAACTCTACTAAAATTTTCTTTTAGTGGATGGTTTTTTTTTAAGTAAGAGCAAATAGACAATATCAGGACAAGCAGATACGCATATTAGGACACTGTGTTATAAGGATAAAATTAATAAATGAGTCCACAATGTTTCTGTATCTACAAAAGAGTGATGCATGTGTTACTTTAATAGGACAATAGTAGATGCTACTGCACACTCTTACAGTGTAGTCTCTGTTAACAATGCATGTGAATTAATGCACATTTGAAGGTCCCTTTATCTTTAGAAGATATCCCAGCCTAACTAAGTGCAGAAATTACAGAGAATTTTTTGAAACCGGTCTTCTAAGGTTTCATCAACTTAGGCTTTGAATCAAGTTAAATCTATGGTGCACTTTACAGACTCCTTGCTCAAAAAATTGAGACTGCAGGCAGAGATCAAGAGAATGCAAGCCATGTGCATTCCCCCTTAACTAAACCCACCAATCTACTTGATTCAAGAGAATCATTTCTGTCTCCAGCAATCAATTCAGTAAAACAGTGGCAAGAAAAGGAAGAACAGAGTTATCTTTTAAAAAACTTCATTATTCCTTCAGGATTATAATCACATAAATTACAAGCCAGGAGGGTTTATTAAACAGGATTTCGGCTGCTGATTCCATAGATTTGGGTGCAGGTCCTGGAATTCACATATCTAACAGGTTCTTCAGGGATGCTGTGGCTGCTGATACTGGGAGCATGCTTTAAGAGTAACTGATCTAGGAGAAGTTTCTTACCTGGAAGACTTATTTCTTATAGAGATCAAATGCTTTAGGATGGCTTTTGAGCTTAACTGAGAGGCTTCAACTTTCCTCTCCGGTCTACATTACTCCTCCACTGTGGCAGACCTGTCTGTTTTCTGACCCTTATATGCATTGATCATTCCTCATCTCACCTCTTTTTTCTACTCAGCTTTTCCCCCATACCAATCTGAAGCTCCTCCCCTAAGCCTCTGCTGTGATAGAAAGCCATATCCAGCCTCAGGCCAGAGGAATCTCATTTTTTCTCTAAACTCCCAAAACTTATTATTTGTACTTACTTTCAGCACTAAACACTTGATACACACTTGTCCTTACTGTTTTTCTTCCTTTCTCTCACCCCTTGATCCCGCTTCAGTGTCTCAAGACTTCACTCAAATGCTGTCTTCTGTGTGAAGCTTCTCATGTTGCCTCAGTTAGAAGGACTCTGTCTTCTGAATTTTCATGAGTGGGAAACTTGATTTTCCTCTTTTTTTTGTATTTCTTTTGTGATTTGGTTGTGTTCTTTTCTTAATTTCTCCCAAGAGCTCATAAATTCATGGAAGATCTGGCTTAGTGTATTCAATGTTTAATCCCAAAAATGCTTTGTGCATAGTATGTCTGAAAAAACAAACGCCTTTATATGGCCCAGAAAAAGAATATCCAAGATGTTAGGAGGCTACTCCTGATACATTTCATCACTGCCTCACTAACAAAAGCTTACTCCAAAACTTTCCTGGATCCTAGGTAGCCACTAACCTGCCAAAGTCCCTGTGCAGTGAACTTAGAAATTATTTTTATGGAAATTCTATGCTAGCTTTATTGGGTGCAGAGTCCATTGCAAGCTACATGACAGAAGTGTCCTTGGCCCTGATATTCTCAAAATTCCAATGTAAACAATCATAGTACTAGATGGCTGAATTCTCTACCAGGTGATTTTATACCTCTAATTTCCCACTGAGTTTCTTCTACTGTGACACAGACCCTTCAGGAAGTCCTACTTGGGCTACATGAATTGATTTTCACTCAGTCCAAATCTCTAAGTAGCATGGACTTTCAGAATTCAAAGGTATGGAGCTAGCTCTCTCTATCACTCCATTTAGGCCAATACGAGGGTCTTTGGAGATGAGGTCAAGTAACCTCCCATCACTCCATCTATGTGGTGTATTACTGGAAGAAGAGGGGGGAAACATTCCCAACTGTGAAATTTGGAGATTTAGCCTTCTTTTTATCTAATTGTTTGCATATAATGGGGACTCAATATATCATTGATATTTGCTTGTAATTAGATGTTTTTCTTCTCCCATATCTTTGACTTTATCTTCACACACATCTACATGCTTTCCTTTAAAAAAATTTTTGTTTTATTACAGTTGTCCCAATTTTTCTCCTGGTGCTGTCCCTCACCCCCTGCTCCCTCAGTGAACCCCCACCTTGTTGTACATTACCATGGGTCCTCTATACATGTTCTTAAAATGTGTGAATTAATGATGAATACTTAAAACCCAATTTTCGCTAAGTTATTTATAAATTAATATATGAGTCTAAATTATAATTTTTGTAATAGTTTAGAAACATGTATGCAATGCGCCATTACTGGCAGTGAGAGTGATTTCACTAACATCTCCCCTTTGTATTCCTCAAGTTTTTACTTGTCCTCCCATCTGAAGCTACACTAATCTGGTCTTGAATACTAATAAAAATCTCTGAAGAAAACTCACTCCTTAATTATGTCTCTGGGGCTCAAAGTTTTTCTATTTGATGAAGTTGTCTTTTGCTTTCTAACTCAATATTTGATTTGTTCTTATTTAGGACTACTAAATAAAAATTGAGGGGGTGTCCTTATGTTCATCATAACTCCTCCAGCTGCTTGAGATAAAAATTTTAAGCAAAAATATAATTTATGGATTCATGTAATGAAAAAGCCCACAGTATCCAGTTTCAGGCACAGTTGGATCTAGGGGCTCATACACACTCATGTGGACCTAGTTTTTTTCATTTTTTCACTCTTCCTTTACTGTGTTAACTCCATTCTCAGGGAGATAAGGTCTCCCCTCTTGAGGACATGATAGCTGCTACCAGCTCTAGGCTCATACTCTGTTTTTGGTCATCTCCATTAAAAAAAAAACCCACCCCAATCCTAATCCCAGTGCCAAAATAGTACCCTGAATTTATCTCACAGACTCTGATTGGGTTATTTTCTACTCTAGCGTGGATCTCTGTGTCCATGGAGAAGAAACATACTGAGTCACAGGCCCACTCATAGGCAATGGGCTAAGGCTACTGTGCATCAATTGATTGTGGGGGAGGGGTGACTCCCCAAGGATATTCTTGGTGTCCTGTCTGAAATAAAGCAAACAGGTTCAGGAAAATCAAGATGGCAAGGTTCCTTTATATTCCACTTTTGGAAGAGATGATGACGTTGATCAAAATGGAGAGAACAACAGTAACTGTAGGAGCAGGGGTGCATTTTTTGCTGGAAGCTGTAAAAACAAACAAACAGAGATGTTTTAGGTAGCAGAGATTTTAAAAAAAATCTGTGTAATTTCTATTTTGAGTCACTTTTCTAACAGAAAATTTCTAATAAAACTATTTGAAGTTAGCTACTTGAAAAAAGTATTCTCGGGTATTTCTAATAGAACTCAGCTTGCATATTTTGCAGATGATGAAATAGGCACCAAGAAAATAAGAGACTTATTTCAGGTTACCGGACTAGCTTGTGGTAGAGATCTCCTGATTTTCAATTTTTATTATTATCATCAGCATTATCACTATCACCAGTATCCCCACCTTAATTATCATTATCTTCATCACCATTATTAAAGCTAACATTACGTAGTCTATTCTGTGCTAGAATCTGTTTTAAGCACCTGCTATAAATTAACTCATTTAATCCTCACAACAAACCTTCGAAGTAGTTATTCTCATTATCCTCATTTTTTAGTTAATAAAACTGTGACATGGAGATGTGAAGAAATTTGTCAAACATCGTACACCTACTAAGTAGTGCAGACAACATTCAAACTCAAGCCGTCTGGCTCAACTCTGTATTTTTAACCATTGCACTTTTTTCTCCATACGTTGCATGTCCTCATAGAATTTTCTTATTGTAATGTGGGCAGAAAGTATTCACACTTCTGTTTGGTGTGTGTGTCTGTGTACTGCCTGCACAGATATGCCCTTCACAGGAAGCAGGGAAAAGTTAGCAGTCGGTTAGGTGTGGCTGATGAAAGCAAAACTTGAATACAGAATAATTATTATCAGAGAGTACAATAGGGTGAGAACATAGAGGGAAATGGAAACCTTTTAAAATGGTCTAAATTAAGAGTGAAATCACTTCCACCAGACTTCACTGGTTACTAAGGTGGAAAACATAACTGAGGCAGAAAAATATTCAACTGTTATTGCCTTAATATTTAACCATATTGTTTGATAGAATGAGCAGATGATGGAGAAATATTTTCCCATATTTTCATGTAATATCTAAAATATCTATTGAGTTTCCTGCAATTTTTATTTGGAATTCTATATATGCCAGCAGTAATTTTTAAACCTCTAATTTTTAATAAGCACAGACAAGGAAAATTATATACATACATATTTCTAATATTTCGCCGAAGTTTGTGTTAAAATGGTATTATCTGAACTCTCATAGGGACCTAGGAACTATTAATACCACATTAGCAGGTCACTTATTGAACAATTCTCAAATATTTTTGTTTTGTTTTTTCTTCCCTGAGGCAAGAGATCACAATGACCCCCAGCCTCCTACCTTTCTCACTCTTTAATGGGATATGGTTCTACTGAGTAGTTACCAGAAAATATTGATAATGAAACAACATAGCGGAGAAAGGTTATGGTTTTGGGAAGTGATTAGCTTTGGCACTGAAGCCCTGCACCTAGCCATCTGACTGGACCATGTTGGTTACTTTCAGGAAGCCTCAGGTTTCTGATCTGTCAAACGACAGCCTCTCAAGCTTTTTGGTTCTATGATCACTATCACTATTCTTTACTTTCCTTCACTGCTATTATGATGAGGCTCAAACAAGAGACACACATACAAACATTACTGTGTTGTGATCACACTCATCTTTCACAAGCACCTCCTAAGCCTTGTTTCATAATAACTAGGATGTTAAAAATGTCATACGTTAATTTGATTTTCTCAGGTTACAGTAACTTTTCTAACTCTCTTGTTACTTTTTCTTTACCTTTCTTATGGTCATTATCATTTTTACCTTATGTTATTTTTTTAATGCAGACAATATATTTAGAAAGAAAAATGAAAAACATCTGAATTACATTAGTTATGATCTATAAAGTCATTGGAGAATACCTCATGGTACTTTTACTTTTGTACTTGTCTTTTCTGTTAGACTATCTATTTAATACTTTTTATTTCCTCTGTACTCTAGTACAATATTTTTCAAATTGGAGATTGTGATCCATTAATGGTTTGTCACATCAGTTTTGTAGGTCATGACCACCATTCTCTAATAATGTAATAGGTTAGAATAAAAAACCCTATAGACTTACATGGCCCATGTAATAATAAACTACTGCTTTGTTACATGTGCTTTCATGTATTTATACGCATGCAAAGTGAGTTATAATGTAAATAGTCTCACTCACAGAAGATAGAAACTAGTGGTAGGTTCTCAGTAACATTTTTGAATGGACAAATAAATCTCCTAAAAGCAATTTATAGAGAAAATTGTTCTGGACTTTTTGTCTAAAAACATGGGAAAGAGTCCTACTGTTGTCATGTATAAACCGTTTGGAAAATCTCACACACGAATCTTTTGACCTCTCTAAACCTCATACTCACATTAGCATAGTGGGGTCAACAGCCCAATATCCAGGGTTGTTGTGAGACTTAAACACATAATGTGTGTGAAGTCTTTTGTGAACTAATTGCTACCCAACTGTAATTCTATTGGTGTATTATAATCTGATTTCGGTCATATCTGCCTTAGGGTATACGGTCTGGGGAGAAATATGTAATTATTATACCTTTTATTTCCTCAAGTCTGAATTTGTGAATTATATCAATGATTCAGAAAGAAACATTCAAACGCTTGAAAAAAAGCAAAAAAGGTAAAACTGACATGCAGTATGTCTAGTTAATCTATTATGTGGAGACGAATGCTGTCTATAGCTTCTTTCTGTCAAAGTACAGAGAGTAATAAGCACTAATCTTTGAGAATGTTATCTAGGAAAAATTTGGTCCTCAAAAGCGATAAGCATTATTTCTTCTGTCTCTTCCTTTGCTCTTATTCTTATTGTTGATATTACTGAAGTGCCCATTTGCTCCATCAAACTATTATTCCACTTCCATGTGCAAAGTACTTTCTAGGAGTTTTTCAGTTGTGTTTGAGAAGCTGGATACTGCTTGCTATCACAACATGCCCTCCAGGCAAGTATTGCCCCCATTTTATAGATGAAGGAACAGTCTCAGAGGTTGTTATTTACTCAAAAGGCCATGTAACTAACATATGCCCAGATCTTACTGGTTTGGAGTCTATTCTCTTTCCACTGTGCCCTGTGACCTCCTAGATTCATTCAATTACATGCTCATTCTTTCTTCCACTTTCTGAGACAGACACTTCACTTTGAGGTGAATGTGATGCCACAAATAGGGAAAACTAATGCGAGAAAATTGTAGCCCAGCCCTGGCTGGTGGCTCAGTGGACTGAGCATTATCCTGCAAACTGAAAGGGCACTGGTTCGATTCCCAGTCAGGGCACATGCCTGGGTTGCAGGCCAGGTCCCCAGTTGGGGTCATGCAAGAGGCAACCAATAGATGTTTCTTTCCCTCTCCCCTTCACTTCCCCTCTCTATAAATAAATAAAATCCTTAAAAAAAAAGGAAATTGAAGCCCAGAATAAAATAGAACAGGAAGTTAATACGGTGAATAATAATAATGGTAATAGTAGTTAAAAAGTTTTGAGTGCTTACTTACATGGGCCAGATACTGTTCTAAATGCTTTTACCTCCCAGAATCATATAAGGTAGGTTTCATTTAAAAAATTATTTCTATTTTATTTAAAAAAAACCAGGCACAGAGAGACTAAGCCATTTGCTCATGTTTTCACTGCTAATAATGGGCAAGGTTAACATGTAAAGAGGCTCAGTACAAACCACTGGCTACATTTTTTTCTAGAAACATGCTTAAGAATTTTGATTATGTTAAACATTTTAACAAATAAATCCTTCTTTGTGAATTCAATGATACAAAACAGAGCATGTATTTGTGTGTCTACAGATTTTTGGCACAGATTATTTTGCTGAACAAACAACATTTAAGGGCAAATAACTAACATAACATACTTTGAGTCTTTTGATGGGCCTGAAAACGTCTGTTTCTATGGTAACCAGTATAGGTCATGTGAGGGCCAAGAGAAAAATTAGAAGGGAAAACTGTTTTAGAATGTCTTATAAACAATTTTTCTTTTATTAATTTACTCCCTTAAACACAGGGTCCAGGACAAATAGTACTCCTTTTTAAATACAAAAATTTTTATTACAAAATCATAAGTATATCATTCTGTAATGTAACAATATCACACTCAAGCATACCGTATGCTATTTTAGGTGAAATGTTCAAATTGCTGGTAGGGTACATGAGACATTCATGTATCCTACCAACCATACTCAAGCAAGTCTTATGTCTGCTGGACCCTGTATATTATGCTATTAAGTTGACTTCTCAACTCTCTGAAGGTGACAAATTCCTGGGAAGTCTTTGAACTTGAGAACTGAAGTTGCAAGTTAACAAAACCAACTTTAAAATAAATTGAAAGACTGGAATGGTCTTAAATCTACTGTCTCTTCTCTGGGAGAATTACAGTATCCTGGCTGGACAGTTTTTAAATGTGTTTATGTTGGCTTTCAAATATCATGCCTGCTACATCAAGAGGTAATGGGAGAGGAAACATAAGTCACTGGCTCATAGGGACTTTCTGGGACATAGAATAGCTTACAGCTTCTGCTAGTAAAGAAATGAAAAGGAAACAGCCTACTGAGAAGATTGTACTTTCATGAGAAATTGGATATCCAAACTCCAGAGCACCCTCTGTGAATTCCCTCGGCTCAGGTGAATTGTGTAATCCAGGTGACTGGGAGAAGTGAACTGGGTAGTAGTAGTTACACAGAAAATCACATCTGATGAGGAGACTAAAGGGGAGCAGAATACATCATCCTAAAACACGCCTCTTTGGCATAATGACTATTTTGAGCCAAAAGCTATCGAAGCCCAGCAAACTCAAGAAAAACTTTTTACGTCCCCCTTAACTGCCTAAAAGAATTTAAAAAGGGGTCTTGTACCAAGAAGAGAGCTACTACCAAGTTAAGTTTTTGTATCAGAGAGACGTACCTGAATTGCTGGGCAAACATACTTGTTTACCAAACATTTGACCTTCTCATCTTCCTATGAATCATCTTCCTCTTCTTTAAAACCTCAGATCCCTGTCCCTTTCCTTAGCTCAGGAACATTATAAGCTTTACTCATCTGGCTATCTTTGAATTTCATATCTTTATGGGGCTCTGTGTGTATAAAATTATAATTTTTCTTGTTAATCTGTCTCATTACAATGGGGGGAGTCTCAGCCAGGAACATAGAAGGGCAGAGGAAAAATTATTTTTCTCCCCTTACTGTACATTGATCTTAGTTCCTTCCAGTGAAGGACTCTCAGATAAGAAAATACATTACTTCCCTCCTTCCGTTGTTCATGTATATGTCAATCCAATACTGCTTCACCAGTTTGGGTAGAGTATTATTTATCAGTTAACAGAAATGACTTAAAGAAAGTTTCAGACATAGCTTACTTATTGAGGAAAAAACAGTGAAGTTAATAGCTGAGAGTATTCTGAAGCCAATTAAAAATGTTTCAAAAACATTAGTAGAGCTAGGTGGATATTTGTAGTGTTCATTTCAAGCCTATAGTCTTTTTGTCCTCAGCTAAAGTGACTGCTAACAACAAACCAATGGCAGATGAGGGTTATGTAAGGTTTCTGCCACTTTTAGTCGGAGCGGAGTCAAAGGGCAGATGTCATCTGTGTAGCTCAAGGTTGTCCTTTCCGTCTGGGGCTCTCCCAAATCGTTTTAGAACTGTGCTGCCTGGGAAGACGCTCTGATTCCAGAGTTTCGTCTATGGTACAATGTCTTCAAACAACATAAAACTTTCTAAGACCAGTGGCATTTTTCTCCTGCCATTTACAGTTTCTTTTTTCCCAAGTCTGCCCAAGCTCCTAATTGGCAAATTTCTAAGGAAAAGATAGATATGGTAAGCCACATCGGAAGAGGTCACATTCCAAGTCATTTACGTTATGGCTACAGCTCCTTAGTCTTAAATTAGGGGTTGAACTTTCTAGAACAGTTTCTTTTTCTAAAAAGTAGTGAATTGTTTTTAGTTAATTGAGTTATAGGTCATCTGACCCAAGGCCCAGCTCACTCAGAGGCATGAAAGAGAATGCTTTATTTATTAATTCACTTATTCAACAAATATGTGCCAGGGGACTAAAGTTAATAGTTGTTAATACTTATTTATCATTTATTGTATACTAGAGAGTGTAGGAATAATTTAGCATTTTATTTTATTTTCATAAGAGCCGTGTAGGGTTCTATTACGATGCTCATTATGTACCCGAAGAAGCTTAGTGTTTAAGCAACTTGACTTAGAACACAGCCAAAAAGTGGCACAGGCTGCATATGAACACGGAAGGGGCAGACTTAGGATCGAACTGCCTGGATTCCACACCAAACTCTGAAATACTGTGTAGTCAACTTACTGCCCACAAAGAACTCACAGAGCAATGCAAGATTATTGACTCCTTTAAGCATGATTCATGATTTCAAATATCCAGTCAAGACCAGCCAAGCTTCCAGAACCTAGTAATATGCATGGCTTACCTCAGCTAAGCCTTAACTCAAAGCCAAGTTAAAGTTGTGTTTGAGTAGTTTTACCACAGGAAAGCAAAGATCATTAGTTTGGGTGGGAGGGTGTCGAAATATTTTTTCTTTGAGACAGCCGTAGCAGAACATGGATAATAGTTTCTATTGCATATTCCTCTCCCTCAGTTTTTGACTCCTTGACATCAATGTTCTACGATTTTTCACTTGATATATTTTACTCTGCTAGTTAACCTAGTACAATAGTTATTTGTCTCAAATTCATGATGAAAATTGAAGCAACAGTATCCTAGTCAGGTGTAGTTCCAAAGAATCTTGGAACCTGGCTATAAATGTTCTCATTATCAAAACCTCAGTTTTCTTCAGATTCTACTCTAAGTTGTTCATTGTCCTCTGTAAACACGAATCTGTTGGATCTGTGGGGCAGATACACATTTCACTGGCATTGTTCCTGCCACACTGACAAGGAGAGAAGGGTGAGGATAAAAGGTGTGGTAGGTCACCTTTCCCTTAATCTAGGCCCAAAGTGGGTGGGCCCTCGACGTCCGTGTGATGCCAGTTTAAGGCTCTTTGCAACACTGTAGCTCTGAAAGGCTGAAGGGTGCTGATAGCCTGGGTCATCAACAGCAGCAATAATGATGGAGCAGAGGACATTTCAAAGGTGGACCCTCCCACCCCAAGTAGTGATCTTTGTAGCTGGGTTGAGAGTAAACTACTATACTTATGGACAATGACATTCTCCCTCTCTCTGAATCAAATAGGGCACAGCATTTGCTATAGAACTATTGCCTTAAGAAATGACCGTGGCTGGCAACACACAGGAATAAAATGGAATCAGTTTTTCTTAAAAAAAAAAAGAGCTTTGTGATATCTCTAATTTCTCCTGCTTCAATTTATTTTTCATGATATCATCAGAGTTCTTGCAAAAATATTGATCTAACTGATGCTCCTCCTTTCCTTAACAACTTCCAGTGACTCCTTATTATGTACATATAGCACGAAGTTCAAAAGTCCTGAGCATGGAATGCATGAGTTTTTACAGTCGAGCCCCATCAGAACCTTCCAGACCCGACCACTCTCCGACTCTCTTTCTAGTCCTAGCCCCTGCCTGCTTCCTGCACATCCTACACTGCTGCCATCCAGAATTTTGGAGAGTCCCTGAAGTCAGTAGGCTCTCTGAAATTTCTGTGATTCAGTACACTGTTTCCTGCTTGAGATGGCTTTTCCTCTCTTCTCTCGCTAAAAACCCCCATTCCTACTTCAAGTCCCATGTGGTCCTCCACCCTGAAGTCTTCCTCACTTTCCCGAGAGGGTGAGTAGCTTCCTACACTGAGCAGCCACAACCGTTGCTTAAACATTGAGTGTGTTACTTTGTACTTTTGTGTGTAGATATTTGTTCATATTTCTATTTTTCATTAGACTAAAAATCCTTCTAGGAGAGTAGTTTTGCTTTATTCCTTTTATTTTGCTTTGGGCCTTCTATGCCAGTTCCTCAAACAAAGACGATGCTTAATAGATAAGAGTGAATGAATGAATCACGCCTCCTGATTTACCTTTAGCACTCTTTATTCATGAAATAGCCATAACAAAAAATTAGTGTGAGGGAGAAGGTAAAGATGCTATATTTTATGCACAATTGCTTATGAGATTTACTTTCTCATCTAAACTAGCTAGTATATTATGTGACTATAGAAATACATTTTCATAGAGGTAGGTAAGGAGAAAGAAGAGAGGGAAACCAAGAAATAAGGCAGTTACCCCCCACTGCCAACCTATCAGTTCCACTGTTATTGAAGGCCACTTTTAATTTTTTTGCCTTTTCCTGCCAAGCTCACTCAGAAAAATATATTTTATAAGAGAATAATAGTCTTTGATCCTGATAAGAGTGAATTCATACCTTTTAGCAGCTGACAGTTATATGTGCTCAGATTCCCAGTTGACCGCAGTTGTAACCAGTTTCCTCTAGAGTGGTTGCTCATTTTTACAACTTCAAACAACTCATAGGGAGGGACCAGGACCTCCTCCTTGAGAGAGAAGTCTTGTATAGGTGCACCCAGGCAGGTCAATATGGTAAATAGAGTATGGTTTCCAAACTTCTGTGCCTCTTTTCTTAAGAGGGAAGTGGAGAGGAATTGGCCAAATCGAAGGATGGCACCTATATAGGCTTCCAAGTAGAAATCAGCCTCATGATACACCTCATAACACAGAGAGTCATTCTTCATTATAATCCTTTCCCTCAGCAGCTGGATTGCTGAGGTCAGGTAGTAGTGTAGATACTTGAAACGGAATGAATGTTTATACTGCCACGGAGACCTGGCAGCACTGGCCATGGCTCTGGCGAAGTCAGAGCGAACATTGTTGTTCAATGTGTAAACCAAGATGACCACAGCGTGTGTGATAGTCATGTTCTCAGGGAGGGCTTTATCTTGGCTCAGCCAGGTTAGGTGAGCATTATGCCAGACCCTGGAATAATTCCTTCGGGCTTTTAGTTCTTTTGTGAAATAATCCCCTTGACTTAGCTCCTCTATGACCTGTTGGCTGCAGCCTTGGTATTGATCATCAAAGGAATTTGGTGCCAAGTCAAAGTTGATTTTAATAGCAGCCTATAAGAAAAAAAATATCGATTATAATGTTTTCAAATCAGATGGTGAATTTGCAGATTTTCTGTGCTTTTTGACACCGTCTTCTCCTCAAGACCAGCCTTTGCTGAAGTAAATTTCACTCATAATCATTCCACTACTCAGTCCTTCTTGTATCAATAACCTATGTTAGAGGTGGAATTTGATTTGATAAATATCACTGAAAGCTCAGAAATGCTCATCGCCTCAGAGAGGAAGTGACCATTTTTGTATCACATTTTTTGTGCATATTGGGTATGTTGAAGAAAACAGTTAATAACCTTAAAGATTTGTTTTACTTCCTATTTCCTTTATTGACTCCCTTTGCATTTCCTTATGGGTGTTTTAAGGACTTTTTAAAAAAATACCTGAAAGCTATATTGAGCCTTTGAACTTTAAGAAAAAACTTAAGTGATGAATGATGTTGGGTGCTTCAAAGGCATCCCCTCTCTTCTGTTCAGGCTCTAAAAAAATTGAAAAACAAAGAGCAAAGACGAGGGCTAAAATATCATTTTTATTAATGAATAATGTCGTGTTGGGGCACACATCTTTTGGTCTGATGGCGAGTGGGCTTGTTGGAAATAAACCTCAGAATGAGGCAGCCTTGCCCGCTCAGCTCCAGGCGCTACTGACTTGCAGCCCACCCAGGTAAGATTCTTGTCATGGAGGATCCCAGACCTCCTAGCCTTTGCCCTCAGGCTAGCTCCCAGGAAGAAGAAAAGCAGAGCTAAACTCAGCATACCCAGTTATTCTTCCTTATGTTACCAATCAGGCGAATTTCCCCACCTCCAGGGTAGCAGAGTTTGTAAAGATTTGGACAGTGTTGGGACTGTGCCTGGAAAAATCACTTTTCTTGGAAATCAAGAGTGGGAAAAATACATTGTCTAATGGGTAGCCAATTGAATATTACTTACTGATACTTAGTACGTATGAAGCTGAAGGTAAAGTCTGAATACAAGTTCACTAAGTACCATCAGTCCATCATGCACAGCCATATTTCAATGACCTAAATCCCAAGATGCTTCCTGCTTGACAAAAAAATTAATAATACTTTTCTAATAAGCAGTACTCATTAAGTAATATATTAAAAGGTAAAGTTCCATCTAGTCAATGTCAAAGATGTTGAGGCTGAAACTAAAATAAAAACACCATTTGGTATTTATACTGTTATTTATGTTCAATCATCTGGTTGTGTGTAAATTAGAACAAGTTTGTAATTAGAAGACTGCTTAAATAAGCTTAACTAATAACTTTACACAGCAAGTTTACCAGTAAATCTAGAGAATCTATATAAGCCAAAATACAAAATCAGTAACATCACATTTGTCAAATCTCATTACGATAAACTGAAACTTCATTATATTACTAATGTCAAATGTGTAGTCTATTATCTTTCAATATTAGGTTACTTTCCCTTATGTGCAACTGTAAATTATAATACTTCTTTTGAGTTGATTCATGTGATACAGTCTAAAGCCAAATAGACTTGGTTAATTTTGCACTATTTGTCCCACACAAGCAGTGTTTTACTTATATTTTATGAAGAATCCAGAAAATAATGGCATGCCACTAGCTTCCATTATGTCAAATTTACAAACTGTGAAGAATTCCACTGTTGTAAATAATTATTTTCCACACTCTTCACTAGCATAACTTAAGATGTCTGAATGAAATTAGATCCCAAGTGCCTAGAGTTTATTGAAAGGTTGTCACCAAGAGAAGGCTCTATTGGAGCTTTAGGCACCTAGCACTCACCTCTTCCATCGCACCCTACCTGGGAACTTACCGTGGGTCTCTGCAGGCCAGCCAACAGCAGCAGGAGAGGAAGCTGTGCTCCAAGTAGCCAGGTTCCCATCACAGGAGCTGTAGCCGTTGGAAGAACCTTCCTGCATCTGTTGGTCAATGGACAGCATTTGCTGGTGTTAAATGTACTTAGCTCTTGCAGCTTCATCCTGAAGTGAGCTCTCACAGTTCTCCCGTGGGTTTTTCTATGTGTGAGTCTCAACAAGAACCTTCCTTGCTAATGTCCATGTCAAGACTTCTGTTGACTACCACCACCTTCACTGCAAAGCTGAAATCTCTGAAATAGCCAGATGTGTGCACCAAACAAGGAATTCTAAAGTGAACTGAAGTTAGTTTCCAATTTAAAAAAATCCCTAATCTGTATGTGGAGGAATTCCGAAGTCCTGTTTAGGGTCAGGCTCAGCCTCAAATTAGGAAGGCAGGAGGCAGCACACACTGTACAGTGCTGGAGCCAAGTGGTATTATCTTGAGCAGCAGGCTCTCACTGTGAGTGATGTGATTGGCTCGTGAGTGTTGCTGGAAAGATGCCACCTCAAGATGGGCCTGTGTCAGCCCCATCTGCTGCTGCTGATAGGGCTTGGCCAGAAGGGGCTTTCATAATGCAGAGAACCTTTTAGGTAAAAAAAAAGCTGTCTTTGCTGCTTTTTTGCAGAATCTTTGAAACTCTCCAAACCAGAAATTGTACCCGTTGGGGTCTTAGCTCCTCCCATCAGGGAAGGCATTGGATCCTCCATCCATACTACTTCAGTTTCTGCTGTCAGAAGAGAGCCTCTGAACAGCTAACATCAATCAAAAGCAGGCTGCAGTGCCAAGTTAACCCAGCCCTGGTGTTCTAATAAACACTCCCTCATAGACACTGCCCTTTGCAGTCTGAACATCCTCCCTCTATTCCCAGTCCTTGTTTTTCTTGAAAATATTTTCCAGGCACAGCTCCCGATTCATTATTTTACTGTGAAGGGAAACTGAATTCTGTTCTTGGTAATACTGGTACTCTGTAAAGCACTTTAAAATATTTTTAAAAAGGATTTTATTTGTTTGTTTTTAGAGAGATGGGAAGGGAAGGAGAAAGAGAGGGAGAGAAACATCACTTTGTGGTTGCCTCTTGCATGCCCCCCTTACTGGGGACCTGGCCCACAACCCAGGTATGTGTCCTGATTGGGAATTGAACTGGCAGCCCTTTGCTTGGTAGGCCAGCACCCAGTCCTTTGAGCCACATCAGTTAGGACTAAAATTTTTTTTTATCTAAGTTTTCCAAATATTCCAGCAGCTCTACCTCATTACAAAAATTTGGAATATCTAGAAAAATATAAAGGAGGAAACAAAATTACTCATAACCCATAGCTCAGAGAAAGGTACTATTTAGAATAAGATTTGGCTTTATACACACATACACCCACATTATTCTAGGACTGAAATGATATAGTATGCAATTTTACATACTGCTTTTTCCCTAACATTTTAATGTATGCACATTCCTGTATAATTTAATACTTACTAAAAACATAATTTTTATGCTTGCACAATATTCCACCATAGATGCTGCCATGTGATGGACTATGGGGTGGATCCATGGATGGTGCCGTCTCGGAAGCAGACTGAGTAGTGAATAGAACGTGGACTCTTGAGAAAGACCTCAGTTCAATTCCTGGCTCTACTACTCCTGAATGTTTGACCTTGGGCAAGGTCTTTAACCTCTGTGTTCCTCAGATTCCTCATGTGTTAAGTGGAGATAATAATGCTATCTATCTCATTGAATGCTTTGATATATTCATAACCCTTAGAACTTGGCACCAAGAGATTGTTCAATAAGTACAAACAATGATCAATTCTTACCCATTTATTTCAACTTAGTACAACTGTAAATAATGATTTATGGACATATTTTGGACACAAATTTTTGTGAGCTTCTTGAAATTGTAAGACACATTCTAGAGCTAGACCACTGACCAATGAAATATGTTTTTTTAACTTAATGGAAAACACAAATGTATGACAATATCTCTTAAAGGCTAAAAATTCTTAACATTTCTCATTATCAACTGTTATTCTGAGATACTGAGGTATGAAGAGAACTAGAATTAGAGTCTAAAAACTTGAATTATGGGTCTAGTTTTATAGCTTGCTGGCTGACTTAAAAAATGAGTAAGCTGTGCTGAGCCTCAGTTTATTTAACTTTATAGATTTGTCCAAAGTAAATAGTAATTACCTTTTACTGAGAGTGTACTGTGTCTCTAGACTTTTTACTGTGTTATCACAACCCACGAGCAACTGTCAAAAGGCACTATTTTAACCCTCAGTGTAGGGGTGCACTTGCTGAGGCCCTGTGAGATTAAATAACCTGTCAGTGATAACCCTTCCTCTCACCCTGTCGCCCACTGCCTCCAAGAATGCCAAAGAATTCTGTGCTGTTTTATTATTGTCTACAAAGATTTTGTTAATTTTCCTAATGTGACTGCCATTCCCAGGCTAAGACCACTAGGGGACAGTAGAAACCTCTGTGACCTTTTCATTGTAGGTGAGAGAGAAAAGGGAAAGAAGGAGGGAGGGAGGGAAAGAGAGAGAATACCAATAATAAAGTAGGGTAAGAAAAGGCCAGAGATCTCATGTGTGAGTATGCATACATTTTAAAATTAAAATTAAAAAAAGGGGTTTTTTTGACAATATTCAGAGCCATTAAAAATCATCTTTTGCCTTGAGGACTATTTTATTAAAGTTCTCATGAGATAATTTAATAGTTAATTTAGAGCTTGGGGTTTACTTGGCTATTATTTTCTTGATGATACCCAGTTTTTCACAATGCAATCTACTTGTGTTGTCTTGATGGGTCCAAGGGCATGGGTTTTTTTTTTTAACATAGAAATTGAAAAAATGTTTATTTAAATGTTACTGTATTTCACTATGAATACAAGGATAAAGGATTTATCCTTATAAATACTATGTAAGGATAAAGCTGTCTTATTTTCTTATGTGGAAACAATACACATGACCAGTGTTCTTCTGAAATACCAAAATAAATATTTGTAATGTTTTTTACTTTTTATTTTCACAATCAGGGTTGCTACTTCTGCATGCAGAATACCACCACATTTTATAGAATGACAGATTGAACCAAAGAACACAAAAAACAAACACTGTAAATAATCAACTACCCATTTCCTTTTAGGACCCTTGCCCCCTCACACATGAGCAGCCCCCCTTGGTTTCCATTCATGGGCATGGGTTTTAAAGCCGTTTATACTATGTTGACAGTCTGCCTCCATGACTGTCCAGCTCTTGAGAATGTGAGCAAGTCATGTTAGTTCTCCATCTAATTTTCTCTATATGTAAAAGTGAAGACGATAACACCAGTCTTGCAGGGCTGTGTTGACAATGAAACTGAAAGAATTCATACAATATCATGGACTGGGTCTAGGAACTACACCGTCTCAGAAGCGGATTGATTAATGAATAGAATGTGGGCTCTTGAGAAAGACACTGTTGTCCAATTTCTAGTTTTATAACTTCCTTAATGTTTGGCCTTGGTCAAATGAATAACCCCTCTGTTCCTAAGTTTCCTAATGCCATGGACACTTAGCTGGTGCTCAGAGCTTGTTAGTTTTCTTTACACACAACTCAGATATTTGAAGACCAACAATTCATAGGGAGTCCAACAGAGTGAAAGTTAATTTGTATTAATTGAAAAAACAGCTGTTTAAGGAAAGATCTTGCTAGTTTTGTAGAATAAATTGTGATACTCATGAGTCTTTCTAAAGCTGCATTCAGAGCATGAGTTGGAGAAGTCACTAAAGGGCCTTGCCCAGGGGAGAACTGTACCTTTTCCACTAGCCTCACCTTTTGGAAATGGTTCTTGTGATTTGCTGTTTAGTTCTTGTTGAACCTCTTTGGACTTATGTCAGTTTAATGGGGGTATTTTACTGCTAGAAGTTCTGGTAATCCAAAGGAAAACAGTTTGATAGAGGCCCCGACTTTTGATAGAATAATTTTAACATTTTAACTGGTCAGTTCTCTTTTACCCTTAATGCCCTTATAGAAGGAGCAAAACTACCTCAACTATGTCATATTTTTATGACTTTTTAATTTAGATAAAATTTTAAACTTATAAAAACATTGCAAGTTTCGTAAAAGGAACACATATATATCTGAGAAGCTCACATAAGCCCTATCCACGTTCAGCAATTGCTTATACTTCCTCAGTTGTTCTCCCATTCAGTCTCTTTTTTTCTAAACCACTTGAGAGTAAGATGCAGACATCATGCCCCTTGTTAAAAGGTAAAATGGGCCGTATGAAAAATTTTAAGAGTTTATTTGAGCAAAAATCAATTCAAATTGAGCAGGGCATTAATATTCATTGGATTCATGCATTGATAATGAAGAAGCAGCAACATGATTGCTTTGTGGTAGCCTAGCATAATTTATATGATTGCTTCCTGGTAAGAGGGACATCTCTGAACAATTTTCTAACATATTTATTGGAAAAGTCTTCATGTAAGTGGACCCATGCAGTTCAAATTTGTGTTGGTCAAGGGTGAACTTATTTGATGGGCTATAGATTAAGCATTCACCTTATTTGGAAAAGCCTACTTGGCTGCTTGTGATTGGTTGTCCTTAGGTTTTGATTTCTTAACCTTGAGACCTTCATAGGCTTATATTCTGGTTTGCTTTTGTAGGCTTACAGGCATTAGAACTACTTCAGTCTAGTGGACTTCTTATTTAATTCATTTAACACCTGTAGGGGGGGGAAATTTTTTCTTTTAGTTTTTTTTAGCAGGTAAGTCTTTCACATTAAAAAAGTTATCTCTGGTAATATAGGTTTTTTTCTGATATGGGCTTCCAAGCTAAATTACTTCAGGCAGATAAGGGAGAGGTGAAGTTTTTCCTGAGTCTGCTGGGTCTCATTTGCCTTCAGCTCAAAATAACCCTGATGTCAAGGTGGCACATTTTGGGGTGGTGTAAGCTGCTCCCCTTCACACTCTTTACCCTTATATACCTCAGAATTTATTTTCTAAAAGCAAGGACATTTTCTTACACAACCACAATACAATCTAACATTTACACACTATTATCTAATCTATAGTCCATATGCAAATTT